CCCCTTTTTTGTTTGAAGCAGGCGTTGGGCCTCCAACAGTTGGGCTTTTCCTTATTTTCTTTCTTTTACCGACTCCCTGCTTGCTCACACACCTTTGGCCCAATTTTCATTTCATTTTATTTATTTTATTATTTTTATTGGCATTTTATATTTTATTTATTATTTATATTATTATGATTATTATTAGTATTATTATTATTTATTAATAAAAATTCAAAAAATATTTTATTTATTATTTATACTTACTTATTTTTATTTTTTATTTTTCTTATAAAGCAAAAAGACCAAAAAGACATTTTTCTTAAAACAAATTAATTTCTTTTCTTGTGTAATTAACATTTAGATAATTATGTTTAATTATTATTTTATTTTTCTTTCTTTTAAAATTAATTTAGAACTTAGGTTTAGTTTAATTAACTAATTTCTATATTATTTTCCATAATTTAAAACTTTTTCATAAAAAAATCTAAAAAATACTTTTTTATTTAAATTATTTTTTAATTAGTTTTATTTAATTATTAACTATTTTTTTAAATTAGGTTTAGATTAAAATCCCTTTCATAAAAATCCAAACAAAAATCATGTTTCTTTTCCATTTGCATTTGTACATTTTTATTTATTCAATTCTTGTACATTTATTCAATATGGTTGTAATAGTTAATTAGATTTAATTTTCTTGCAAACCCCCCATTTGTAAATTTGTATACCCCCTCCCCTAGTGATGTAATAGCTTAGTATTTTTTTCCGCAATTTAACGCTTTATATATACATGCTAGTAAATTAGGGTTTGTATGGAAAAATAAAATAAATAAGTTAGCAAACTCTAATTCAAGACAAAACAATGCATGTAAATCAACACACTTACACACTTGTACCCTTAGGGTAATTTCATTTTGTTGCCTTACAAAAATGGCCATGTTATGCATGTGGGATATCTTAGCAAAAAGCAATCAAAAAATACAAGATCATAGTCCCTCGATGACGCTATCAAAGTTGCCTTTCAAAATGATCTTAGTCCCTCAAAGAGAATTACTAAGATATTTCACAACATTGCTATCATGGCTATACGATGACTCATGCCCGTCCATTTACATCCAAAGATGAGGTTTCTTACCAATCAATGGTAAGATAGCAATAACAAAGGAAATGAAGAAATGAACTAAGACTTTTGAGTAGGTAGATTGTTCCTAATTGCTTGCTCATTTTCAAATCAAACATCCTTGCTTATATTAAAAGCAAACACCAACACTTTCAAAACACTTTCAAAAACCTTTTCCAAACATGAAATATTTTCAAAAACTCAATACTTTGTATACGTTCTTACGAACGAGAACTATTACAAAGTTTGTCTAAACGATGACACATTTTCAAAATACTTTCAAAAACCACACAAAGCATATTTTCAAACAAAAACAAGTGATCTAGCAAGCAACTAAGAGCCCATAACTATGGATGAAAAGAGTGCTAACATCTTCCCTTTTCATAATCTATCCCCCGAACTCAAGAAATAATCTCAAAGGTCTTTCATGTTCTTTTCAGCCTTTCCTTTTGGATAAAAGAAAAGTCGGTGGCGACTCTTGCTAACCGGAACATTTGCGATAAAACGCAAAACATATCAAGTCAGTTCTTCCACTGTATCACACAGTGTTATTGGACCGTGTCAGAGGTGGAAGCGGATTGGACCAATTCTAATCACCGGGCCAGTCTAGAACAATATGTTTATGTTATAGGAAATCAAAATTAATATTTTAATTTAGAAAAAAAAACAAATATAAAAGAACTTGTAATATTTTAAAAAATGATTTTATATAATCAATTTTCGAAAATATAAAGAAAAAAAATCTATTTTTTAAAGTCAAAACAAACAACCCTTAATATTGCTTTAATTAAAAAAATAAAATAGAACTGAAATTTTTATGACAATTAAATATCTATTAATCGTACAAACAAATCCATTTTAACCTATGAACCAATTAAATTGAAGTCGATCAAACTGATTACAATTTTTGTTGGAATTGAGCCTAATAGTTGATGATTTAACCTGCCACATCACTATTATAGTTAACACCCTCTATATACTTTTACCCTTATACACTTGTCTAAAATTATTAAATTTAAAAAAGTTATATTTTTATCAGAAATTTCTAAAAATACTGAAAACTTTGAAATTTTCACGAGTTCTTACTAGAAAGGTATTGGAAATTTCAAAAAAATTATTGAATTTTTTGGAAAATCAAATATTTAATTTTCAAAAATATTTATATTTTGCATATAAAATTTTTCGAAATTTCCCATAATATAAAACTTTTTTTTTGAAAAAATTCATACCAAAAATTTATAAATAAATTATAAATTTTTTTGAAAAATCTATGGAAAATTTCGTTCTTACCATCTTCAAACTTATTCATGACAATTTTAAAATTAAAAAAATTGAGAATGACAGGTATAATTTGAGGGGAGTGATAGTTAAAGTTCTCCTAATAATTGTATCCATCAAACGCCGAACCCAAATTTGTGTTCATCTTCTAAACCTTATACTCCAATAGAAACATAGAGAAATTCGAAATTCGAAATTCTACCAAATTTTTAAAAAAGTTAAAGAGCAAGGAGTAGTATTTTGGGGTTGCGTTTGATAGAGAGTGTAGGTAAATTTCTCTTATTCTACTTCCACACGAAAACTCAAAAATACAACAAAGTTCCAATATTTGTAGGTAAACCCTAAAATTACAATAGCTCCAATATTGTTCTCCTTTTTTGAAAACCTTGCTAACTTTTTAGTTTGTTTTATGCAGTTGCTACTTCAACTCTCTACAGTAGTAAGCACCATTGTCGAACGGCAATGAGCATAGACGAAAACGTCTTCGCATCTTTAACCCCAAATTTCCCCGTATCCCAATTCAATTTCTCTCTTGAAATCAAGGTATTCACATTTCTTACTCTTTTTCTTCATTATTGTTATTATTAGGATTAGGGTTAGGATTACCTCTATTATGCACATTAATACTAATATTCATGTTGATAAATTTGCTTACTTGTCAGGGAAACAAAACTGAAATCATCATTTCCACTTATGAAGATCATGTTATGGTGAGTGCTACTGGATATGTGCTTCTATGTTTTTATGGCAACGGTTCTTAAATTTTATTTCACTGCCTTCAGGTTATTGCCACTCAAATAGGAGCTATGGGGACAATACTGCATGCCAGGTTAGCCTATGTCAATTCTCTGCAATTTCGTTTATGAAGCACATACACTCACAAACACAAACACTTGGCATGAACTAACGATGACACGGTGGAACAATAATAATTTGAGAAAAAATAAAAGTAATTGAGTATTACTTCATGTATCGGTGTCTGACATCGAGATTTGTTGGACACCGGACACTGACTCACCTTCAATCTGAGCTAAGAAATTATAACTTGTCCAGCTATCAGTCATGCTGAGTTATTGGGGACTTTTTCATCTAGCTATGATTGAATGTGAGAACTGTGACTTTAGATTGCTTAAAATTCCAAAGCACCATTCACTTTCAAAATAGCGAAGCTTAAATGTGGAAGGATTACTCAGTGTCGCGCGTTTCTTTTCTATGTCAGGAAGGAAGAAGGGATGTCAATTAACCCAACATTCAATGTTTCTGTTTTATTTGGCAAACGAGACGAGGTAAACTTGCCTATACTTGCAGTCAATTGTTTTCTTTGATAATTTCCTTGATGGTTTGGGTTTTTGTTGTTGCAGCCAATGTTAGTAGCTTGTGCACGCCAGCTGATAGAGCATATGACGTAGGTATTCTTTTTTGTTAAGAAAAACTATATAGTAGTTATTACTTTCTGGAGTTTTCAATTTCATTATTGTAACTCTGGTCTAAATTAATATGTTTCAAAGAAATTCTTTAAAATCAACTATGAACCCTTCTATAATTCTCTAAATCGTTTTTTATACCATATTGACCATCCAATTCCCGATTTGCAGTTTGTCTGGTGTTTCTAAGCCATTGGTGCTCTCACTTGGACTTAAAGACCATTCTGCGGTACGTTTTATCTAATTTGTTTCTCTTCACTGGAAATGAAAAGAAAAATTAGTTAAGTCAAACTCATGTACCAATGTTATGCAGGGGACATTGAAAGGAATTGTGTCTGCTGTGATTGAGAAGAGGCTGTGGTAACTATGTATGCCAATGTATGACAAAATGTGCATGGCTCCACCCGGTTCAACCCGGTGGAGTTAGCCGTAATAGTTGATTAAAGATTATTTTTATACATAACATTTTGGTGTGTCAATATATCATTGTATTGACCTCTGGCACTTTCAGATTATAGTATTTATCATTACTGCCAGTTAATCTCATTTTCTACTTTAGTTGTGACAGATTGAAATATTCAGTTATTGTTATCATGGTAAGCAAACTTAAGTTAATATCTTATTTTTGGCCTGTCATTTATTTACTGTGATTATTTCACTCAGCGACTCAAAGCAGTGATTGGACTTTGATGTCATCTGTTCGAATTTTTTTTCACATTTTCCCAATTAAACATGTATGCAGAAAGAAATCTATTGAATTCTTAGCCGATTAAAGTAGAGAATGTTTAAACAATGAGCTGAATTTAAAAGTCGGAAAGTGAAGAGACACGATCGGAATTTTGTAAATGCAGCGTCCTGCATTTTATCATCTTGATTACAAGGTAGAAAAACAGAAGTAAAGGAACAAAAGTAACATTCTCAGGAAGAATGGTTGATATATACTGAGTGTAGAACATAAGATCTCCTCTTCACTTGTACCTTTGACTTCCACATAACATGGACAGCTGTTTATTATTTGAGGACCATTTGACTCTGGGACTTAAACCAATCTAGCTTTCTTTTAAACTCATGATAGAAACATAACAAATTTTTACTATAGCACACAATAATTTTGAGAATTTTGAGAGTTAACCATCATCATATTCTCATTGTTCATTAAAATGACTTGAAAGCAATGTGAAGTTGGTGCTGCATTTTACTCACAATCTAGGTCCCTCTGGCAGTGGGATATCAACTAAATCTTCTCTGTAAGGAGCATTACTCAACGCTAACTGACCATCATTTACAAATCCTTTTTCCATGTGAGTTTGCATTGCTGGGTCATCCTTGACCTCAACAAATGTTTTAACAGTGTCTTTTCTAAAGGTTAGATAGATAACCGAGACAATATACAGTGCCATTAGAGGAAAAACTATGATTCCAATGAACACATTTGCCACTTTTGGTAAACTGCTGTGAATTATCCAACCCACAAAAGCAGTAATGAGGTAGTACACATTGATACCAATGATTCCCAAACCTAGAATCCATGAGATGACAATAATCTGCATTAAAATTATGTTACATTTTTTGTTTTAGTTTTTAATCAACAATATTTTACATAAACAATGACCACTTAATAAGACAACTTACGATCATTGAATTCTTGTGAGGTCCCATTTTAGTACTACTGCTGCTAAATTTAAGGAGTGGAATTAAAGCAAATGGAAGTTCAAAAGAAAGAATCATCTGCAAAATCAATTTTAATCAATATATCTGCATAATGATGAATTACACATAAGGAAGATAGAATGATAAATTCTAGAATTTACAAACCGATGCAATGATGATAAGTCGTCCGGCTCCAGAAGAACCACCAATGATTGAGACAACAAGACTAGGTGCTATGGCAACAATCCTAGTCAACAAGTTCCTAACCCATTTCTTCATCTTTAAGTCCAAAAAACCCTACAGCAACAACCAAACCAAAATTCAAGTTTAATAACCTCTTAAGAAACCTAAGTTATGTAGTTTGTTTAGTGTTTAATGATATTCTAGAATGACCTGCATGATAAATTGGCCTGCATAGGTGCCAGTGATGGCAGAACTTTGTCCAGAAGCTAACAATGCTATGGCATAAATGATCGAGCTTGAACGCCCCAATACATTCTAATGCACATCAAAATTACACAAGTGAGATATTAACCGTTGCTTAATTAAGATTGAACATAATATCAGGCTTTGATCATAGTAACTGTAACTAATTATTATCATGTAGTAAATTAAATTAGAAACCTTGAGAAGAAAAGAAGCGGAGTTAAGGGTAAGATCACTGCAACGTTCAACATTTTCAGCAGTAATGTCTTTGGCAGTACAAACAGTTCCAGATACAGAAATCATTGCAACATTGATTAGAAATGCCACAAACAAAGCGAAACCACTCTCAATTAGGAAGTATCTACATGCATCCTACAAAATCAATTATTTGGATAAATCATTTGATATATTTAAAGTTTATCACTTATATATAGTTTGTTTATTTCATGGGGACTTACATTGATGCCGCGTTTTGAACCAGGTATTTTTCTAGATAACACTAGTGCAGAGTGGAGGAAAAGATTGTGCCTGCATAATTTTGTCAAAATCAGTCAAATAAATATTTCAAGTGAATTTGGTGCAAACTTAGTGTATCATGTTATTAATCGGAAACTTTGCGAAAAAAAGAGGAATAGTATATACGGCATGATAAGGGCACCCAAAAGGGCAATAGCATCGGCTACGGCGCCATTTCCATTGAGTTTAGGGACGAACATTCCTTCGACTACACCAGAAGCAGGGGGTTTTACATAGCTCATTTCTCCGAAGAAACACGCAGCCATTACAAATACTAAGATCGATATCAACAGTTCCAACTTCCTTACCTGCATGTCCAATAATGATTTGAAATCAAAACAATTCTAACTGTAATTGTTAATATTTCTTGATTATTAGAAAAAGATAAATCAATTACTCCAAATCTTTGTAGGCCCAAAAACAAGAGAGTACTGCATCCAGTTAACAAAACTCCTCCCCATACTGGAATGTGAAATAGTATGTTAAGAGCAAATGCTGTCCCAATCACTGCCACAATAGAAACATATAAAAAAAGTTAACACACCAATCAATTATATTGTTGAATTTAAATTAATGCTTTTGATTGTAAAATGATAAAAACAAGATGATGAATAATAGAAAGAAAAAAATTAGCACCTTCAGGTATGTCTGCAGCTATGACAGCAAGCTCTGCTAATATCCATAAACAATACTTCACAAATATTGGATATTCAGCCTTACATACTTCTGAAAGGTGTTTCCCTGCCAAAATTAAAACAAGAAATATCAAATAATGATACGACGAGAGAATATATTAATGGTAGTTCATCTGGTACGTGATAATTGAGTTAAATGAATATAAACTGTTGATATGAAGTTCGATAAGTAACCTTAATATTTTTTTTAACGTACGTTACTTACCGGTGCATACTCCAAGATTTGCCGCCAATGATTGAATTATAAGTGCAAATATGAGTCCAATAAGTATGATCCACAACAGCTGAATGCATCATCAACATTATATTTCAATTATTAATATTTCACTTAAAAATATCATTATAAATATTTTTGGTTTATAGTTTGTTGTCTAATACTAAATACTAATTGCTTTACCTCATAACCATGGTTAGCTCCAGCTTGCAAATCAGTTTCCACTAAAAAATCAAACAAAAGATTAGCACACAAATTTATACTAGCAAAAAATTAAATTAAAATTAGAGATAGAGAAAATTACTATTTCCAGGATCAAGGTAGGCCAAAGAGACAAGAAAACCAGGACCAACATATGTAAAGAACTTTTTCCATCCTGGTGTCTGTTTCATCAATGCATCAAGTTTATATCCAAAATATTTATACAACAAACTTTTTTTTAATATCTAAACATTAGTAATTTATTTGTTTGTTAGAACTATAAATAAATAAATTACAATGATACCTGATCGAGCTTCGGAGAGTCATTGTTAGGAGATGGTGTGCCAGAAGGTGTCACATTTACTGCAACTATGCGATTGCTGTTACCATTACTCACTTGTTGTTGTTGCTGCATCATGCTTGTTATGCTCTATCTTAATTTTTCTCTGGCTTTTGGTCCCTATGTGTATGATGAATGAATGAGTTAGCTATTAACTATAGTGTATATATATATATATACATATATATTTTTAAGATTTTGTTTTTTTTTTAATAGTGAAGAACACTTAATTGTATAAGATTGTTAGTTAAATTAATTTTGGCATTTAGACACAAAAGAGTTCCATCTTCATGCCTTTTAAGGCATGCCGCACGTCACGTGTCACTATCTTCAATAAAAATAAATTAGCTATCAAAATGATGACATATATATTTGGTATTGGTAGTTACGTATGGTCGTATACATGTTTTTTAGTGTATATAGTCCAATTCTGAAAAACAAAATGAGCAAACACAGCATCTATACACAGCAATATTCATGTTGTATTAATCAAATCCCCTGCTAATTCCATTTGTCACTATTGAAGATATTACTATATTGTTGTTTTTTTTTAATGAAGATCTAAGTTTTTCATTTTTTATTGAAGTTAATTGTAATTTCGATCCTTAAATATCAGGATTTGCGTTTGTACAACTTTGGCTACCATGTTTTAATTGTGTGACTTGCGCCTTAGCCTGATATCTATTTTATTTTTTAAATAATAATGTAAAGTTTAGTGTAGTTGAACTTAGAGAGTTTATCAGAGCAAGTTTTAAAATTAAAAAACACACTATAATAATAAAATGTTTAGTTTAGTTAGATTTCATAAATCTATTCAGGTTAGAGTAAACCCCAAAACTCAAAAACCGTTTTTAAAATATTCTCATATTGACAGAAGATGAATTAAAGAGCGCTTATAAAATATCAATGATGAAAATTATTGTAAAATATTATCGATTAGGACGGTCTTTAGGGTTGTGGTCTAAACTAAAATAGTATTTCCTCAAGTCTTTGTTGTCAGCTGTGATACGAGGATTGTAGACATAAGAGTATGTGAAGTCGACCCATATGTATGAACATGTGTGATTTCGTTCGTTGAGGATAAACACATTTCTTAGTGGGAGTAGTTGTCAGAAAGAACATGCACATTAAATGCACTCAGTTGATGAAGCATTTTTTTACAGAAGGAAGGTTACACGCCTAAGTGCACTCAATTATAGTTATTGTTTCGTTCGGGAATCAGAAATGAAAGCTCTAGCTCTGGAAGGAACCAAAAATGATGAGAGTTTGTCGATAATGATCTTGAACGATAGCTCTGATCTTCTTTACAACGACGCATGGTGGACCTACATGGTTAACACTTTCAACACCCAAGTCGATTTAATAGCATGTGAACTGTTTTATATATTGGGCCAAGTGGAGTGAACTTCAGATGTATTAGGCTGTGATTTGTTGGGCCTTTGGCTGGTCTAGAACAATTTCCTCAAGACTTGGTTGGGCATTGAGGAAGTCGGGGTAAGCCTTATGTACCATTGACCAACCTCCGTGTAGTAGTCATACATGACATAGTACTGAATTGCTTGGGAACATTTTGAAAAGTGATAGGGAACATGCACCTTTAATGCGGTTCCATCATTGAGATGCTTCATCACTCATTCCTAACACGTGCGATGATGTGACTGGCTAGGATGTTGTGTATTTCATAGAGTTCTTGAGTGCACTTGAGTTTGACGTGTTTCCATGGGTATAATTTTAGCCGCTAATCTTTTTGACTCTGTCTGCAGTCAATCTTAATTCTTCAGCTGTCATTGCTTATAAATAGGGCGAGTTGTATATTTGGAAGTTTACCACAACCTTTTAATTTTTGAGCTTTCAGTTACATTTACATAGAGGCATTTTTGTTCCTTTCTCCCGAGAACACTACCAAAAGTGATTCAAAGCTTTTCTTTAAGGTTTTTCTCCTTTTTCATTTTTTTCCTGCTTCATCAACCTTCTTTGGACTAGAGGTTATAACCATATTTGATGGCTCTGGGTCAGTAGGAACAGTTGAGCCTTCCTTGGAGTGAAAAACTTCTTCTTTAGGGTCACTAGATGCCCTTATATCAAATATTGGTAGGAGAGCAAGTCGCACCGAAGCCCTTATGCCCCTCCTACTTTATCGACAGAGGAGATACAAGTCAATACGAAAAGGAGGGACTTTGCCAAGGATTTTATTCAAACTCATCTATGGACAGTAGGTAGTGAGCCTTGCGATGTTGAGGTGTTTTAGCATTTAAATTTGTGACGTCGATCAACTACGCCTACGTATGGTTGGATAGATGCAAAAATAACGAGTACTTCTTCGGTCTTGAGCACTAAGGTCGGCTTGAGAGGTGATGGCAATGAGGTCGGTGTGAGAAAAGGTGTGATACGGTGGGAGAACTGACTTGGGTGTTTGCGTTTGATCGCAAATGTTGCGGTTAGCAAGAGTCGTCACTGACTTTTCTTTTATCCAAAAGGAAAGGTGAAAAAGCACAGGAAAGACTTTTGAGATTATTTCTTGAGTTCGGGGGGTAAATTATGAAAAGGGAAGGTATTAGCACCCTTTTCATCCATGGTTTTCCATGGGCTCTTAGTTACTCGCTAGATCACTTGCTTTTGTTTGAATGTGCTTGTGGTGTGGGTTTTGAAGGTATTTTGAAAATGTCTTTGCAATGGTTCTCATCTCTATAAGAACGCATACAAAGTATTGTTTTGAAAAATAGTTCAAAGAGGTGTTTGTGTATTGTGTTTTTTGAAGGTGATTTTGAAAAGATGTTTTTGTAATGGTTCTCGTCTCTATAAGAACGTATACAAAAAGTTTTTGTCTTTTGAAAAAAGGTTTTAATGTGAAAGTATTGGTGTAAAATGTTTGGTTGTGAGCAAGCGAGCAACTAGGAGAAAATCTACCTACTCGAAAGGTGTTAAGTGTTCTTTTCCTCCTCCTTTAGATGTTGCTATCTTACCATTGATTTGGTAAGAAGCCCCATCGTTGGATGTGAAAGGACGGGCGTGGGACGTTTGTATAGTCATAGAAGGCAACCTATGGAACATTTTAGCGATGTCGTTTAGGGACTAGATCGTTTACCGAAGGTAACATCAAGGGACTACGATCTTTTATCGAGGGACTACGATCTTTTATCGAGGGTATTTGTTAAAACGCACATGTTCAAGGGACATGACTATATTTCCGAGGCAACAAGTGGAATTACCCCTAAGGGTGCATGTGTGAATGGTGTGTTTGATTTGCATGTATTTTGTCTTTGATTAGGGGTTGTCTACTTGTTGTTTTTATTTTGCCATACATACCTAATTACTAGCATTTGTACAAAAGTAATAAAAAGTGCAAAAAATAAATCCTACACTATTACAACCATATTGAAGTGCATAGAAATGTAAAGGCAAAAATAAGATAAAAAGAAGTAAAAAAAAAGAGCTCATTCGATTCAGGCAGGAGCACCCTTCGATTTGCATTCTGTTGGCCTCCTTCGATTGGGGCTAGCACCAGTGAGGTCACGGCCTTCGATTGGGGGCTGACACCAGTGAGGTCCGGTCCTTCAATTGGCCTGGAAGTCAGTGTATGGCGAAGCCTTCTGATTCTGCCTTGTTTCCTTGTTGCCTTCTTCGACTGTAGGTTGAAAGCAGTGAGGGAATGCCTTTTGACTGAGCCTGGAATCAGTGAAGGCATGATTTTCGTCTGGGCCTGGAAGTCAACATGGTTTGCCTCCTGGTTGTCTCTTTCGTTTGACCTGGAGAAAGAGGGTAAAAGCCAGAAGCTTCGTTTCCTATTTCCTGTTTCCTATTTCTTTCGTTAAAGCATTAAATGGCAACATGGCCTGAGGCCATGCTAGTATTTGTCTTGTAAATAGTTTAATAGTTAAAGCAAGTTCAGGTAAACAGAAAGCAAAACGAAAGGGTTAGCTCTAAAAAATATGTTAAAAGGGTGGAAACGAAAGGAACAATGGCATGTACATGTTTCAAACGAAAGGGAAAATTACTATGCCATGAAACGAAAAGTTCAAAGGTAAGAATAACTTACCTTACTTCAGGCCTTGAATGGATGTGGGACCTTGAGTGGAGGCCCAGGATGATGGATTCGAAAGAGGGGGTCAATAGCTGTGCTTGGAACGCTGGATTCGAAGGAAGAGAAAAAGCAAGTGTGGTGCTTCTTTGATTCGAAGGAGACTGAAGTGTGGTTGTTCTTCAAAATTGAAGGAGATGAATGTGATTCTGGGTTTTTTTGTGATTTCTCAAGTGTTGATGAACTTGAGAGTTTTGTTGTGTTTGAGAAAATTTGGGGGATTCGTTTCTCTGGTCCAAAGATCCTCCCTTGGCTTTGCAAAAATTCCTCTATTTATAGATAAAAGAATGGACATGTTGTCGTAGCCAGCTTGCAAAGAAATAATAAAATATAGGTAACGTGAAGGGTACAAGTGGTGGGGTGGGGTGGGGGGGGGGGGGGGGGGGGGGCTCTTGACAATTGATTAGACTTGTGCCTCTGGCCATGCTTTTCATTTAGACGAAATTCAGGTGGAAAGCTGCTTTTGTGATAAAAGTACTTTCTATGAAAAGAAAGGGTATGTAGCCTTTAACCAAGGATAATATTATCCAAAAGACAAAGTTTAAAACCCTTGTACAAGCCTCTAATTATGTAAAGATTCAGAAGCAACATAGCCTGGAAAATAAGATTTGTTCTTGAGTCAAATGCAAGAATGAGATCTAAGCGCACTTATTCGAAGGAATCCTTTGCCTCAGTCGAAACTTGTGATCGAAACAAGCTTACTCGAAGGAAGCTAATGCCCATTCAAAGCATGTGGATCGAAACAAACATAAAATGAGTCATTGCCTTTTAGCGTGAGGGAAGTTCCTGGCTTCTGAGTCGAAGGGTGTTCCTTCAAGGGAAGCAAGAACTTAGTTAAATCTTGTATGAAGATATCTCTTGGCTCAAACAAAACTTGTGAGAGGCAAAGTCTGCAATAGGCCCTTGGTGCAAGTGGATTCAAAGGAGGTTTCAAATCCAAATGAAGGATGTACCTAAACTTGCATTTGAAGGAGACTTTAAGTTCAAAATGAAGGACATA